GATAGTTTGAAGGTACATTTCCTCAGGGTCTCAGATGTCTTGCACTGACACCCCTCTAGTGTGCAGTCTGGGGCTGTAGAATCTCAACGTGATGAAAAAAGGATCTGTGACTCCTTTATAGTAAGATGGACCTCTGGCTGGTCTTCCCCCTCAGTTCATACAACTGAGTCATCTTTAAACCCCATCCTTGGTCCCAGCCAATTGCAAATTCTGTCTGCAAACAATGATGTTTGAAGCCCGATTTTCCTTTCTAAATAACTGCTAGACTGAAGTTAGCCGTCTCTGGAGATTGCATTTGCTCTTCCAGCTTATTAAAATATATGTTGTTGTTTTGGCTTATGGAAGCAAGAGTAATTTCAAGGCAGGCCCAGCAATGACAACTTAGAAACGGGGAAAGATGTCTCAAGTAAGATATAGGCTTCACTGTAAAGTAAATATTATGTAGGTGCATGCATTTAACCCAGGGGTGGGCAAACTTTTTGACTCGAGGGCCACAATGGGTTCTTAAACTGGACCGGAGGGCCGGAACAAAAGCATGGGTGGAGTGTTTGTGTGAACTAATATAAATTCAAAGTAAACATCATTACATAAAAGGGTACGGTCTTTTTTTTTTTTTAGTTTTATTCGTTTCAAACGGGCCGGATCTGGCCCGCGGGCTGTAGTTTGCCCACGGCTGATTTAACCTCTAAATGAGCCTTTGGAAAAATTCTGTCTAAACAATTTAAATTATTTTTCAAGCAAGGTTAAGTAAATTCTTTTATGTTACAAAATTCACCCCCCCACACACACCCATGTATGATTTTTTTTAAAGTAACAGTAATCTAGTGCCCTATGGATTAGGATCTTTCAAAACTCTTCTAATCCACAGATCAACTTGGATACTAGATGTCCCATTGTCTATATTTACTTGATTCAGGTGCTTCCTACTGAGCTTCTGCAGTGTCATCCGTAGGATGTCTGTAAGATGATCAGAACCATCATTTCCTGGAACAATCATTTGTATGTTAGAGTTAATAAATTTAGTAGTTGCTTATAACCCATTTTCATAGTCATGTACACAGATTAGAATGTTTGCCATATGCAAATGGCTACCAAGATCCCTGAAACCGAGACTTGAGGAGATCAGGACCGGAGGATCCAGATGTGTCCCTCACTTCCTCACTGTCTTTGCTCTCCCTCTCTAGAAGGTTGCTCATCATCTGTGATCTCCCTTTTCCAGGATGGGTAATAAGTGAGGAGGTGAGACAGTGGCATATCCAGTTAGGAAATGGCTACGTTTGTATAGGATAATGTTTTGTTATATTGTTGAAATTCCTCAAGAACAGAGATACTACCCCAGGTATAGGATTATAGTATTACTTTTATAGTATTACTTTATGTACTATTTCTCCATAGATGAGCTCCAAATTCAGATTTCACCCTCTCATCTCATGAGCTTCAGCCATATAAGAGGATGCTGTCCAGCCATCACCTCAATGTCTCTAAGGCTGAACTCATTCTTTCCCCCTCCATTCCAGATTCAGCTGTCTTAAACAATAAGGGAAATGTATTATATCAAGTAACAAGAAATCTAAGGGTAGGACAACTCTAGAGTTAGTTCATTCAACATCTCAATAACATCAGGGACCCAAATCCTTTCCATCTTTTTGCTCTGATCCTTAGGCCAGTGTTCCCATAGTTTAAAAGGGCTGCCACAATTCTCGCTGACATATGCATGCACACAATGTCCAGCTGAAGACTAGAGACTGTTGCTACCCCATGTGTCTCATTTTATTAGCTAGGAAAACCTGTCTCAGAAGCCCTCAAGCATACTTCCCACATGTTCCCACATGTAAATCAGTCACCAGCAAAAGAGTTAGAAACCATCATGAATGGCTTAAATTAATTATGATTCACCCCCTGTGACTGGGAATTAGAATCTCCTCCCCAAGCACATGAAGAGTTGGGTGAATACCTGGGAAAAGTTGGGGTTCTCTTAGGAGGAATGAAGAGAGAATAGTTGTTGGGGAGGCAAACAATCAGTTTGATACAGATTGTAATAAAGTAAATGTACCAGAATAAGCTAGGTTAGGCTGTGGGAACAAGTGATTCCAGAGGTTTATAACAACAAAGTTTTATTTCTCGAAATATCATATATGTTCATTGCAGGTCAGCTTGGCTGTATTCTAGGTTGTCTTTATGCTGGCACGCAAGCTGATAGAGCAACCTTTATCTGGAACAATGTTGGTGTCGTGAAAGAGAAATAGCAGTCATGGTGAGTCTTACCCCGGATGGCTCTTAATACGTCTGCCTGGAACCTATACATGTTAGATCTGCTCACATAGTCTTGATCAGAACAAGGTCACCTGGCCAAGTCCAAGTGGAGTGGGGAAGTATAATCCTTCCCCAGGAAGGGCCACAGAATTTTGTGAAACTTTATGACCAACAATATAGTCTGCCACAATTGAGGACCAAACCTACTCTGCTAATCACTTGTCCTCTCCCTGGGGTTCCCAAGGGAACGATACACAAGGAAGAAATTGGAATAGAAACTAAAGGATCATTTTATTTGTAGCTGAGCTAGCACCCAATAACTTCTAGAACAGAACTCTTCCAAAAGACTGAGTTGAATCACATGACTTAGGTCTAAGGCTGAAGTGAAGCTTTTTTATTCCTATCCCCCACTCCCCCACCACTAAATTTTGGAACTAGCAGGCATAGGCATGCCCGCAGAAAGAGAAGATGATCAGGTGTACAACGCAGACCAGCTTTCCTCATCTAAGTGTATCCTGAATGGAGACTGGGCTGAGCCTTCTCAGCTGGCAATCCGGAGCAAAAGCGGCACACTTGGCTACGTGAACTTTCCATCGCTGCTGACCCCAAACACTGGTTAAATGTGGACTAATGAATACCCTGGGTTCTGGCCAATCAGGTTAACAACTCCTTTTTTCTTTTTCTTTTTTTTTTCTTTATTGATTAAGGTATTACATATGTGTCCTTATCCCCCCATTGCCCCCCGCACCTGCCCAATCATGCCCTCACCCTCACCCCCTGTTGTCTGCATCCATCGGTTATGCTTATATGCATGCATACAAGTCCTTTGGTTGATCTCCTTTTTCCTTTTGAAGGTAGCTAGTAAGAAGGCAGGGAGAGGCCCTAGCCGGTTTGGCTCAGTGGATAGAGCATCAGCCTGCAGACTGAAGGGTCCTGGGTTCCATTCCCCATCAAGGGCACATGCACAGGTTGTGGACTTGACCCCAGTAGGGGCCGTGCAGGAGGCAGCCGATTGATGATTCTATCATCATTGATGTTTCTACCTCTCTCTCCCTCTCCCTCCCCCTCTGAAATCAGTAAAAATATATTTGGGAGGGGAAAAAAACAGGGCAGGGAGTGGAGAAGGGAATTCCTTCCTATGCTCCCACTTCCTCACTTTTGTTCTCTCTTAATCCAAACAAATGCATGTGCACGATCTATTTGCCTCCTTATGTAGACTGAAAGCCTCGCAAAAACAGGGGCCAGTGCATTGTGTATCATGTTTTACATTTGGTGAGTACTCAGGTGTCTGCTGGTAACCATTCTAAGTGTCATTTAAAAGACGTCATTGCCATTTCAGTTGACAAAACTGGTCAATTACAGATACACTAGGTTTTTGCAACCCGGGATTCTAGGGCTATTTCTTGTCTTACTTCCAACCTTCACTATATTTTGGCACAAAAGGGTATTGAGATGTGGGTTTGGACAGGGGGAAAAAAAGGAAAGTCTTCTAAATTGCATATGACCCCAAGCAAATGGATGTGCTAAGTATATAGAAGATCAAAATTCAATTGACCTCAATAAATTAGAGAAATGGTCATCAATAGCAGGTTTAAATGCATTAGAATAAATGGAAAGTAGTACATTTTAGGAGCAAAATAAGAATCACACACACATACTGTAGATTCAAGAGAGAAAAGCTGGCCATGCAGAAACGTGGCCAAGAAAGACCTGATAAACGTGGCAAACCAGTAACAGAATTAATAGAAAAATTACAGATGTATTAACAAAAGCCTATGGAGCCAAATTCATCTTCATAATCCCTGGGACTTAGCCTGGCACATCGTAGATATTGATAAATATTTATTGGGAAAAACAGTGACTTTGGCCAGATTGTCCATGCTTTTCCCTTCTTCTGAAAAGCCTCGCATGACCAATTCCTATGCACTCATCAAGACACAACTCAAGCCCTGACTGGGTTTGGCTCAGTGGATAGAGCGTCGGCCTGCGGACT